CCCCACTCACCCTGCGGGGCTGCTCCAGGAGCGGGCCTGGCTGCCGGGCACCTGTATCCGCATCCCCTGCGCCCTCCTCCACCTCCAGCGGCCCGGTGGAGACTCCTCCTCCGGGCACCTTCCCAGCCCTGCCCGCTGGAAGCTCACCCTGCAGCCGGAGCGGCAGGCCAACTTACCTTTCCAGTCTGCCACGCTCGGCACCCAACCCGGAAAGCAAACACGGACGAAAAGCCACGGTGCAGCCTGACACCGCTGCCCCCAGCCCCGCTCACATCCTGCCGGGCAAAGGCAGGTTATATTGCAATTGGGAATTAATCCTCACCTAGAGGAAAGCATTGGCAGACCTGTGCCTGCTTTTTGGGGCAGGCCTCCCCCCTAGTTTACTGCAGAGCAAAGCTGAAGGACCAGTTGCATGTGGTCTAATTTATCACCCGTGGAAAGGCAGCAAGATATGTCTGTCCTGTTTCCAAGCACCGAATTGGAGCTTTCAGATCAAGCTCCCATGGGACCAGCACAGCAAAAGCCCTGTTTGTGCGTCACCCACTCCTCCGGACAGGCTTTAAGGAGAGATCGATGCTGCCCTGCCTCAATTTACAGCTATGCGCTATAGATCCTTCCTCCTGGATGGCCTTGGGGGTGGTATGGAGAAGGTGGGCAGGGAAATAACCCCCATGCCCTGGTGTCATCTGAAAGCCAATTTTTAGCTGGAAAAATCCTTTCTTTACTTGCCACCCTGTGCAGACGTGGTGGCACACAGAGCCACGAGAAGAAGGTGGTTACCTCATGGTTGGCTTTTAGGTAGTAGCACTTGGGTCTGTGCGTGGTTTGCCACTATGCCCCACACAGAATCACCACGGTGGAAGATGCAATTTACATTCAATTTGCTAATGAAAAGTATGGTTTGCACATGTTGCAGGAGCTGTGGACACTGTAAGAGGGCCAGGATTTGGGAAATACATTGAATTTAGTGCCAGGAAAGAATCCCTACGAACAAACCAGCATCGCCATTAACAAATTCCACATGCCTCTCTCAGCCTTCCTAGACAAATAAAAAAGCATAAATGAGGGAAAATGTGGAGTTCTCACAGATGCAAATCTTTGATTCTTGGAAGCACGGTTTGGAAAAGTATTTTTAGATGAAATTTCTTGTGAAGGGCAGCTGCAAGCCTGCAGTGTCTGAATGTACTTTTAAAGTTTCATTTCTCATAATCCCTTCACTACTGTAAACGACTTCAGAGAAAACAGTCCTTTCGAAATCCACTTTCTGCTTTTCTACTTATAGGGGATTTTTTTAGCTACAGAAACATCCCAGCAGCTGGATCTTCGTGGGGCAGGCAGAGGCTCTGGGCTGATTCTGCCTGACCAACAGGTCCTAACGCAGCACAGGCCTTCCCTGCCCAGAATCCAATGGCCTCTGTCTGCTCTGCCAATAAGTGACGAAAGGGTGTAACAGCTCACTTAACAATTTACTACTTGGTGTTGTTACAAGAAGAGGTAAACCCAAATGTGTTTTCAAGCAAAGCCTGGCTATTAAGCATTGCACCAACTCATATGACTTCAATGAATGCTTTTATTTCAACAGACTTGGGAGAAACACCCCTCTGTCCCCATGTCTTCTACGATAGATGCTTCGGGAGAGGGACAGCTCATTGCAGGTGGTCCAACCGAGGTATGTGCTGCCTCTCTGATGTGCTGGTACCATGTAACCCGTAAGCAGCTGTTATTTGTCTTCTTCTCACCACTAAATTGGGCTCCCGTCTTCCACCCTGACGTCAGCTTTCATGAAATTTGCAGAGCATAATTATCTGCCTCTCTTTAAAACCAGAGAGAAAGTGGAAAATGGATCCAGACTGCATCAGGAAAGGGACTGACACAAGGACAAAAGCAGTCATACAGGACTCATTTCCCTAAAAAGAAGCAAGAAAACCTTTCCTATTATGCAACTGCTGTTGATTTGTTACAGGCTTGTATTTCAATTGAAGCAATTTTCAGAGAGCAAAAAAGAAAACAGGTAAAATTAGATTTGTCAGTGTTTCTTTTATTCACTCTGCACTGGGTGTTCCCCCTCTGCGGTGCAGTGCAGCTCCAGAGCTTGGCATCCATTGCTCCTCAGGATACAAACGCAGAGCCACGCCACTTCCCAAATATACATCCCACCCAACATCATTAAAATAACACTTCTCTTGTATGTTGAGACAATTGCCCTCGTCTCATCACTGACTGTATGGACTGCAAACCTGTCACAGTAACAAAACCCACAAATGTTCTACACAGTAGAGAAAAATTCATGAAATTCCTCAGTTCGTCCAAAACCAGCACAAAGACATTCCATCATTTTCATTTCTTGTCCTTCTAAATAGGTGGTGATGAGTCACAGACTCAAGATCATTTCCTTGAATCCAGATGGCACAACTTCACCACACTTGGCAACTTCGGATCACTTCCCGTAGAGCTTGTATTCCTTCCATGGTCTTGTCCTTTAAAGCCATGGCGAGAAGAACGGGTTTGTTCCCAGCTTCCTGAGACACGAATGCCACCAGGTTTTTGGCACAAACATGAACGAGGGGCTGAAAAGCAAAGGCACACAGATGTACAGTCTCACAGCTGGGAGAGCTCTCCTGAATGAGCTGGGAGAGTCCTGCAATGATACGGAGTGTGTTGAGAACCTGCTGATACATCCCTGGCAGTGTTCAAGGCCAGGCTGGATGGGGCTTGGAGCAACCTGGTCTAGTGGAAAGTGTTGGAACTGGATGAGCTTTATGGTCCCTTCCAACTCAACTGGGATTCTACGATTCTATGCTACTGGACTCACACTGAGCGTGCAGTTTGCTGAGAGGCTGCAACATGACTGGGAACAGACATGCAGTTTGGCTGGTCAGCGAAGCCAAACTACAGGCCCACTTTGGGAAGAGTTTGGACACATGAGTGACAGCCACCCCAAACCACCCTGAAACAACTGAACTGGAGCTGCACTTTAATCGAGTTCTGCACCAGTCCGGATATCTTCAGAAGCTGGTACAAAGAAGCTTTCCTTCCACTAATCCTCCCACTCTAACCATCAATTTCCTTCCACTAATCCTCCCACCTACCAAATATCAAATTATATGAAATGCCATGGATCAAAATGCCTCTGCTTCCATCAGAGCCAGATTCTGAAGAAGTCTCCAAGTACAGTTTTTGTTTAAAAACTTGTTGCTGAGGAAGGTATGCTGACATACAAGCTCTGGAAAACCCCTTATTTTGCAATTCCTAAAGACTCCAAAATAGTGTTTTTTTAGTCTTTTACAGCATGTGTAGATGACTTGTTGGTTTTGATTTTAATTTTAATAGAATAATGAAAACCAGAACTGAATAGTGAGTCTGAAGGAGGGAAAAAGAGGTGTATTATCTTCTTAATGAGGTTTCTTTAACAAGAAAAAAACAAGAATATAATACCACGGACTATCTCAGTTGGAAGGGACCTACAACAATCACCTAGTACAAACCCCTGACTGATTCAGGGCTGACCAAAAGTTAAAGGACGTTACGAAGGGCACTGTCCAAATACCTCCTAAACAATGACAGGCTTAGGACATCGACCATCTCTCTAGGAAGCCTGTTCCACTGTTTGATCATCCTCTTGTTAAAGAAATACTTCCTAATGTCCAGTCTGAACCTCCCCTGCTGCAGCTTTGACACGTTCAGCTTGTCTAGGTTTTACTTACACTCACAGTCATGTATTTATCAGGATGAGCATGATTTCAGCTACCAGTGTGGTATGGAAGTGTGCACCATCCCAAGTGGGGTTGTTAACGGTGACAAGCAGGAAGGCGGCAAACTAGTGGAAGCCTTTCCTTAAAGTCTGATCAATAAAGTTGGCAAAATGATTTAAAACCACTAGGTAACAAAATAAACAAAAGCACTTCCCGTCTCCAAATAAAACACAAAACCAGCTTGGGGGTGGAGGTGGTCAGAATTAGCAGACATCACACTAGGGAAAGCAAAGCACCTCCCATACAGGGAAGGGAGGCTACCACTGAAGAACAAGAATTACATAAAGGGAAGCTGCAGGTAGAATCAAGAACTTGTGTTGTTAGTTTTTCTAGTTAAGGTTAGAAAGTAATATTTGATAGCTCCAATTCTGATGGAAAGCCTCATATTGTAGCTCTGTAACTTTCTGTGTTAATGGTTGACTAGCTGACGCTTTGTGAAACACATTTTCTTCTGCTTCTCTCCAGCTCTGTGAAATGGTCGATAAAAACTCATTTTGTTGAAGCAAAACAAATTAAACTTTATCAAGGGAAGGTGCTGGCGGGCACACTTAGGAAGGGCAACTAAAGTCCATGATGAGGCTGGCATAGATTGGGGGGTGGAGGGGCAAAAAAAAGGGACTTAAAAAGGAAAACAACCTCACTGGGAACAGAAACCCAAAAAAGGTTATCAAAGGCTGCATGTTTGATCTTGCAACCCTTAAATCAGTAGGAGCTTTATCAAACCTGCCATAAACATGGCAAAGCAACCCTAGGACACAAAATAACAGCTCCCCAAACCACTCAGTCCAACTTCTGTTATGTTAAAGAGCAGAGGAGCATGCACACTTTTCTCTTCCCTCGGAAGAGATTCTTCAATTAATCTTGCCACTGTGCAAACACCAGTTCACTGCTGTGGTCCGACTCCCTGGGTACTTGCACAGCCCCACTTACAGTATTTCCCCCTTATCCTTGCTGCCTGTATTATCTGCTCTCACCTCATCCTTGCCCAGCAGCACCTTTGTGGTGAGCGAGGGCCTGCTCACGTTGTCACCGACTGTGTTGGGGTCCACATAAACGATGGTGCCCATCTTGCCATACTGTGTGACTACCACAAGGATGGAGTTGGAGAATGCTGTGCACACCACCTCCGTGGGGACCCCGTGTACCACCTCCTCCCGCTGCTTGGACATCACGATGGGATTCGCTTCCATCGCTGCTGAAAACGAACAACAAAGCAATAACAACATGAAAATAACATTAAAAACACAGGCCATGGGTTATAAAAAGCCCCAATCCTTCGCTCCATTTGAAATACCCAGGGTTAAGTCAATTTCAGAGCACAAAAAGCATCTGGAGGTGTGTGTTTGCGCAGGAACAGCGGCTTGGACATCACGATGGGATTCGCTTCCATCGCTGCTGAAAACGAACAACAAAGCAATAACAACATGAAAATAACATTAAAAACACAGGCCATGGGTTATAAAAAGCCCCAATCCTTCGCTCCATTTGAAATACCCAGGGTTAAGTCAATTTCAGAGCACAAAAAGCATCTGGAGGTGTGTGTTTGCGCAGGAACAGCGACCAGCCCCCCACATCCCCGACGGGGAAGGGACATCGAGCTGCCCCGCAGCAGCCACCCCGCACTCCCCCCGCACAACATGGTTTAACAGCGATCGCACCCACGGAGCCGTGCCCTCCCCTCCCTCGCAGCCTCCCGGCCGCT